TAATAGATTTTATTTAGTAAATAGATGATATAAAGACTTCTTATTTAAGACCAGAATTATTAATGAAACATTGACAATTCAGTTAAATTAATAAATTTCTTTTATTTTGGGTTAATCAACACATTAAATAGAATATTTTTGCATTAATTTATTAGATGGGCAGAAGCTCATTTCAATTAGTAATTAGTAGAAAATTTTCTTTTAAATCACTCTTTTGACCTAGCCATGCTGAAAAATATCCATACTACTTTTTAAATTCTCTTTGAATTCCTGCTATCATGACAGGATAATTATTGAAGATTAAAACTATTTGCTAAAAGATAAAAGACATTTCAAATCACTGAGATGTCTTAGTATTTTTTTAATCTTGAGAAGGAATTGTTCCTGGTCAATTAACTGAAACAAAAAACAATGTACAGTGTTCAATGGGACTTAACTGTCTAGAAATCTCAACAATCAAAAGTTTTAATTCAACATTCCACTATTCTGCTGGGTATAGTAGTATATACCTATAAAATTCCAGCAGTAAAGGAGATCAAGGAAGGAGAATTGCAAGTTTCAGCCCAGCCTAGGCAATTTTGGGACTTAGTGAGAGTCTGTCTTAACATTAAAAATAAAAAAGGGTTGGGGATATAGCTCAGTGCAAGGGCCTTTGGTTAAATGGCCAATAAAAAAAAGTTCCACTTTTAGTGAAATGAATGACAATAAAGGCAAAACACATTCATATTAAACACTAAACACTCTGAAAGAGTGTTAAACTACTCTATTTTTATTTTGACTGTATAAAATGATCAATAATTGCAGGTTCCATCATGCCTTTTACAAAGTACTTCTATATACTACATTTCAAGTCTCACAATAGCTCTTCAAGATAGTTATGGCAATTCTCATCAGTATTTTAGAGATGAAGGAATGGAGCTGTAAAGTCTTTTCATGTCACCTTTGTAAGTGGTATACTTATTACTGACCATAATTCTTGTATTATCTTTATATTTTCATATTCTGCTTACTAAGACAAGATACTCACATGTGTGCATACACACATCCAGGTGTGCACACACATACATTAATATGTGATGTATGAACGTGAATTCTGGGTAAGAACTTTCAAGTCGTTTCCAAGTTGGAATTAAAGAAACTAGAGAACTCTATTCAGGAAACATTGCACTTTATGGTAAATGGAATCCATACAGAATGAGCCCAGAGGCTACCAGCTCATTAAGTGAGACATGTGCTCTTCTTGCTATCTAAATTGGTGTGGACACCTTTAGTTGCTGGAGAAGTACTAAGCCCAAGTAGTCTTTTCTCCTTTCTTGGCAGAAGCTTCAAAGCAAAGTTGCAGGTCCTTAAATTCTTCCTAATACTCATTTCTTGGTTGATGTAAAAATGTTTTTAACATGTCTAATAGAATTTTCTGTGATGGAAATTTCTATGTCTAAACTAACGGTTAAATACCCATTAGCCACATATGGTTATCGAACATTTGAATTATAGTTAGTATGCCTGAGGTACTGAACTTTAAAAATCTTAGCTAATTTAAAATTTTAAACTTTAAGCTAATTTAAATTTAAATAGCTGTGTGTAACTAGTGGTTACCATAATGGACAGAGTAGTTCTAGTTAGTTTAAGATTCTGGTGCTTAGAGTCCAGAGCACCCCAGCAACAGCACTTTTGCAGATCACCTAGTGAGGATACAACAGAAGTTATGTAATTAATTATGAGTTATAACTTAATTGTTCCAGAGGGTGGGGTTGAAGTAGGGTATTGGTATTAGCAATGAGAAGGAACATGGGAATTTTAAAGGAAAGGATAACAAATGGAAAGAGTATGTTGTGGTAAATACTAAGGCAAAGAGACTGTGAATTTGAATTTTTAAATCTTATGCACTGGAGGAGTACAGAGCTATCAATTCAATACAAAATATCATCTTTGCCAGTGCAATCACTAGGGCTACAGAAATCCAGTTATTGAAGATGAAATACTGTCATGGGCTGGAAAGAAAATCAAGAAGAAATGAATAACACATTAGGTTCTGCTGTATGTTAGAGTGACTTGTATCTAGGACCATCTCTAATTGTTACTAATTGGAAATAATCAGGAAGATTGCATGAACTGAAGGAAGAAAGGACTTAGTATAGTGCGTACCACAAGTAAGCATCTTACAGATACTAGCACATATAATGATCTTTATTTCTGCCTACATCTTTTTAGTCACTATGAGTGTATGGGAAAGTACTTAATCAATTTTGGGGAAGTTATTTTTTAAAAGAATATCTCATAGAAGAGGAAAGACAGACAACATAAGGGTAAGTTGAGAAGTGTCACAATTCTGTCCTTACTTGTGAATTGCTGTTATAGAGAAACTGTTATGAAGAAGTTTGGTCATATCTCTCAGGTATGTTGAGTCAGACAACACTAGACTGATGGAAACAGAAAGAAAAGAGCAGGAAGGAAAAGTACCTAAAAGCACTGCTCTTGTTTTATGTTTGTGGTATATTATAAATACAGATCAGTGATGCTAACATTCTTGTCAAGGTTAATAACAGAAGGCATCCTGGAAGAATATTTCAGGCACAGTGAAGTAGTGGGAAAGGAAATGGCTCTGGAGTCAAGTTAACTGGATTTAAATATCACCTTTTTCACTCATGTGACTTAGACCAGTGATCATCTTTGGGTTTCCAAGCTCTACTTTTTGTAACATATGGAGTTGAATGGATCTTTAATATCATTCTAGCTCTAAACAATAATATAACTCTAGATAGGAAAGCACAAATAGGCTCTGGCCTTCCAGACTACCTATTTTTGTTCTTTCACAAAAGCGTGTTGGTTTAGTCCCCTAGCTTGTTCAAAGAGCTCAAGTTGTGTGAATGGTGGTATTGCAAGCAGGATGCATCAAAATAGGAAAGTGGCAGTGAGTGATGGTGGATGAACAGATTAAGGAGGAAGTGGTTGGAAGAGAGAATAGTGTGAAATAAAGAAGCAAGTTCCTATGTTATTCTTTTGCTGTATTCTCCTATAAGCTACTCAAAGATAAATATCAAAAGCTGCCACCTGCTTAAAAAGAGAGATAAATATCAAAATACGGAGGGTGAAAATGGCTTGGACTTTGGAGGTCAGCATACATGAATAGAATTCTGGATACAGGATTCCTAATTTCCTTATATGTGTGATATTTATTTATTTATTTATTTATTGCAGTACCAGGGATCAAACTCAGGACTTTGTGCTTGTAAAGCAGGCACGGTGGCCCTGAGCTACATCCGCAGCCCATGTGTGATATTATAGTTAGTAGCTATTGTGAGGTTTAAATGAAGTAGTAATTCCTAGAAGATAGTACATGTTCAGTAAATATTCTCTTAACTTGGTTCTCCCCAGATTGGGTTACTTTCTTTCGCATGTCATAATTAGAGACTGGTTAAAAAGACAGACATACAGAGATGCTTAAAAGTCTGTATCTCTTCCCACGTGCGGTGGGGAGAGAAGGATGCAGAGGAGAGAAAAAAAGCCATAACCTGAAACTGAAAATCCCAATTAATGAAGTACCTTCCTTTTTTTTGTAGCCTTACAATTCTCTATTCCTGAAACCCACGGAAATGTTTATCAAAACAGCATCCTTAACTGCGTTTACAACACTTTACCGTCAGGCAGACTCATGCACAGCAGGAGAAAAAAGAATGAGGCACCACCCGAAGTTAGCAGGCTGGATACCCCCCGCCCTTGCTTTTGCACCCAGAAGTGCCTGGAACCTCCCAAGCTGAGAGCAGGGAAAGGCAGAAAACCCGAAAGGCAGAGAACCTTTACCTATTTTTTCGTTAAAACCAGACCACCTTTCCGTGATTGTAACACAGTTTCTTTTCGCAGAGAATGCTGGCAGGCGATACGCTCTCATTTCTCTAGAGGGGTTAGCTACCCGCCATCGACAACTTTCAGCACCGCGGACAGCGCACGCACCATGTCAGCTTGGCTGCCCTGGCTCCCAGGAGCAATCCGGGACCCCAGATCCCCAGGGGAATCGGTGGCCCTGGGCCAACTCCAGTCAGAGACTGCCCCCGCCACTTTTCCCAGAGCTGGTTCAAGAAATCAATGAACCGAGCCTCGCACAGGTAGGAGGATGAAGATTGTCAAGAACAGGCGAAACCTCGCTTCTCTGCAATCGCAATATAAAATGCACACGGAGCGGGTGACTCAGAAAAGGGAAGGAGGTTCGGGGCCAGGCTGCGCTGATACAACCTTCTGGATTCGTGGGCGACTTATGTGCTTTGGGGTGGGTGACGAAAGGACACTCTGGAGGGGTGGAGTAGTGCGGGAGAAAGTCGTCTCCCCAGGCCGCCCGCTCTGGGCAGGAAGCCTCCCTGGACACTTCTCTCGTCACGTCCTCCTCACCGTCCCCGGCTTGTCACGGGTCTCCCGGGACAGATGCCCACGCGGCGCACCAGCCTAGTGGGCCGCCAGGCTAGGCAGGAGTCAGTCCCTTTGAAGAGTTTGCTCTCAGGTAAAAGGGGCAGACGCTGCACCCGCCCTCTACTCGCGCTGCGGCCGGAAAAGCGTCTCTTCCTTTCCTCAGTCACTGTCCTGGCCCGGGAACCAGGCGGGCCGAGCCGGTTGCGCGTCCAGGCAGGGAGGAAAGGACGGGCCCGGCCTCTGCCCAGACCCGGGCGGCCCAGACGCTGCTCCCAGCTACCTCCTTTTCTCCTGCCCCGCCGCCCCAACTGGTCTTGCCCCCGCCCCTCCGGGCAGCTCCAGCGAATTCGAGCCCGGCGTTCCCCGGACCTCGGGCGCTAACCCGGCCGAGTTCCTGGCCAGCCCGAGAACCCAGACCCAGCTCCAACCTCCTTGCAGCGAACCCTTTCCCGGAGGGCGCCCTCAGCCTCCGCGCCATGTTCCTGCTCCCCATTCCCGGGGGTTCCAGTTCCCGGGTTCATCCCAGTCTTGAGGACCCCCACATGGGGCGCAAGGGTCACGGAGGGGGGTAGACTGTGACGAAGGGGGCCGTCACTCACCAGAGGACTGGAGCCCCCGGAATGGCTGCCGAGGCTGGTGGCTGGCGGTCCGCTGTCACTGAGCAGGGCTGTTTCTCTGGCTGTGATGGGGGGTGGTGGTGGTGCCCGCGAAGGAAAGCAGGAGGCAGCCGCCGCTGCTGAACAGCTCCTCAATTATTCAGATCGACACCCCCCACCCCTCCCCGCGCCTGCCAGTCCTTCCAGCTCTCCTGTCCCCGCCTCCTTGGAGTCACGTGCTAGTCCAACCCCTTACGTTACCAAGACGAAGGCTTGCACTAGATCCCCTCTTCCCTGTTCCTACTGTTTGCTACTCACAGATAGCTGGTCTTCTGAGCTTCCAGCTGGGCCTCCAGTACCCTGGGAGGATGTGGAGACCCAAGGGCCAGGAATGAGGGCAGTTCTCTGCCCTGGGAAGCAGGGCGGGGCAGGACTCTGCAGTGTCCCTGGGTTAGGAAGGTGTCTGTCATCAGCTCCGTCTCTGCTGGTATCTGTCACCAAGGCCTGTTTCTAGCCCTCTGAAAACTTTCTCCTTCCTCTGCAGAGTAACTGCTCTTAAACTTCTTCCACCCACCCCGACACTATAGCAAAGAAAGGGTGGGAAGGTTAATTTCTCATCTACTCTCCAAAAGACAAGACCCAAATTCAAGTAGGCCAATTTTATCTTGGGGTTCACATGCTCCAATGTGTGTAAGGACCATGGGTTTGAGATTTGGAGACCCACCAGCAATTTCAGTCTGCCTGATCTTTCTTCTTTCATCTGTGAAATAACCACCACACAGGGCTGTTAAGAGAATTAGAAGTCATCATGATCTTCAAATTGCTGAGCCTAGTTCTAGACACATATTTGGGGATTAATAAATGAGGGTCATTCTTCCCTTGTTTCTGTTAAAATAAACTTCAGAAAATAAAAAGAATTTTCTGTATCAGTAGAATAAAGATATCTTTTTTTAAACATGAAAGGAGCTTTCTCTGGCCAAGATAGACAGATAACCAGTCTAAAAGGGGACAGGAGAGACACAAGGATGATATTTTACATTGGTTCCTTAAGGTGAATGTCATAGAGGCATGCTGTGTCTTAAAAGAATATGGACTAGATAGGATCAATTCCAGCACAATTGATCTCATCATTTAACATGCATTGAGCCTATTGATTTGGATGGGAATTATTTTTTTTCAGCTTTAATTGAGTTTATTGGTAGATTTTAGGGACACAGTACAGTTACATTCATTGTTGGGATCTTGTACCTCTACATGACAAGTCTTGGTTCTCACTTTTTCCCCTTGCCCCTGCCCTCCCTTCACTCCCTCCTCCCCTCCCCATCTACAACCACTTTATTTCCATCTTTTCATTATCTCACATTTTTTTCTTTTCCCTTTTTAACCTTCCCCTACCCATCCCACCTTCCCTACACTTTTAGCTCCTTTCTTCCCATTTCTCAATGTCAGTAATCTTATTAGGATCTTCTGTATTATTGCAGATTATTCACACCAGAGAAACTATTGGATGGGAATTATTTACATGAATTCTTTCATCTTTGACCAATCCCTCAAAATACATGGGACTAATGAAATATAACTACTTTTGGAGACAATGTCAATGAACTTGTGTTTGGGAAGAATGCTGGCTGACCCCATGTTACGGTAGATCCATGCAAATCTAACTCTAGATTGTGGATCTTCCCTGGACCCCATGGGTCTTGGGTTTTTCTCAGAAAGGTGACAAATTATGGCCTAAACAATCTTGCTAAGTTAGATTAGTTCAAGCTCATTTGTACCTTGAACCAGCATCCATGTGTGAAACCTTGAGACAGCTCCATAATATAAACTTCTGTGTAGTCCTGCAGAGCATATCAGATCTCCTAGGACCCTTAAAAGTTTGTAAAACATTGCAGGAAAAAATAAAGTTAAAGAATCATAAATTTGGTATGTTAGTGCAGGCTCTGCAAGTCACTTTTACAATCTTAGGCAAATCATTTCGATAGAGTCTTATCTTTGAAATAGAAAAATAATCTCTATCTTCCTTCTCTATAAGATAACTGATGTTCAGATGTGGTAATACATGAGAAACCATTGTAGAAGGTAATGAGAAAACAAATATAAGTAAGTTATTAATATTATGGACTGAAGTAAACCCTGAGCCCATTCTAGTTCAGATACATTATGAAAGCAAGGAGATGGGAAGATGGCAAGGTATTTGCAAATGTACAGTACCTCAAAGTCAAGGGTTATAGCACTTTAAGACAGTTTCATGAGAAATTGCTCTAGGATTCTGAATAATTTTTTTCAGGCCAGTTTTAAATGCCCAAGTCAACTTTACCCAGCAAAAGGCAGAAAAAGGAGCTTAGAGGGCAGATCTTGCATAGATTGCTATCCAATGCTACCCCTTAACAAGATTTATTGATAAGATTTATCTTGGGCCCTCTCTTATTTACAAGCTCTTATCTTTTGCCTGCTGACTGTTAACTTTATCAAAAGCCACTTAAAACACTTTCTTGTCATAGGCAGCAAATTAATAAACCAATGAATATAAATGCAGTAGACAAAAATATAGTAAAGCATTAAAGTCACATACATCAGCAACAATGGACACATATCTCAGTTCCAAAGTTAAATAATATTATAGAATGACTGCTAACTAGCTCTTGAAAGGTACACACTAATTTTATCTTGCCAGTAATTGGAATATGAGATTACTGATTGATTTATTCAACATATTATAGATCCTCAGAATTATCCACGAACAATGCAGAAGTCACTGTAAAAGATAATGAACTTGCAGTCTAGGGGAAGGAGTCAGCAAACAAGGTAAACAAAGAAAGCAGTGGAGATAAGTATCACAATGAAAATGAAACAGCAAAAAGGGAAAGTGGAATGGGGAGGGGAAAGGAAATGTGGGAAAAGAAAAAATGTGATAAAAGGAAAAAATGGAAACAGTCTTTGTAAATAGGGAAGGGTGAAGGGGGTGAAGGGGGGGCAGGGATATGGGGAAAAATAATAACCAAGATATATCATTTAAAGGTACAAGATCCCAATGATAAATGTAATTATATTGTTTGCTTTAAATGTATCAATAAACTTAATGGTGGGGGAGAAATAGCAATATAGTAAGAAGTAAAAGGGTATCCTTTTAGTTGAGTGACACAAAACTATTATTCTCCAAAGAAATGGCAGGGTGCTTCTACTCAGAGCCTTTTGCCAAAACTGTTCAATATGGAGAAATCACTAAAATCCCTCATGGTTAGTCTCCTTGGGCAGATGGTGATTAGGACATCAGGGAATTCGCCAGATGCCTTAAAAACAATTGCCCATTTTTATCTAATGATTCATGATGATGACAACCTAATGCTTTCTTCCAGAAGGACTCCAAACTCATCAGTGCCCCTGACTTTTGCCTCTAAGCAGATTCAATAGCTGGGCATTGAAGAGACTTCCTGGACAGATAGAGGTGGTCTAGAGCCCTCCAAAGGTAATAGTACTTCTAGGCAGCAGGACAAAAAAGGAGGCATATAGCCAGAATTTAGAATTTCATAGGCACACATTAAAGACATATTGAACAAATAACTTACTGTTAAGATCCTACCAATTGGACTGGAAATTTAATATTTATCCATGAACAAATTTTCTTCTGGAAATCTAAATTCTAAGAAGAGGAAGGGTTTGCTGACCCAAGCATGCCCATTTAATTCCTCAGTTTACAAGCAGATATGGTGCTCTGTCCATGCCTACCTCATGCGGAGGGAATAAGGTTGCTGTGTGAGAAGTCAGAGGTTGGGAATGTCAGGTCAATGGAGTTACCTGACATGGAAGCAAATATTAAAACAAACATTTCTTTCCATTTATTAGGTATTTTCTTTAAACACATTCAATTTTCTAAATTAATTTATTTTATAGAGGTTTCTATCATACCTTAAATAGAAAACTGCCATCACTTTCCACAAATACAAGGCAACCATTTAAACACAATAAGATAAAACAGTGCCATTATAGTCAAGCTAAATACTTTTGTCCTCTGAAGAACTTGAAGTTTTCTTTTTTCTTGTTAAAAGGGAAATTAGCAGCTATTAGTGAGGTGTTAAAGACAGTGGCATCAAACTGAGACTTTATTTATAAAGTAGTCAGAAAGATCGAAGGAAAAGTAGAAGTGGAACAACTCACTCTGATTATAGGTCATTTACTGTTAAGTGTAACTACCATATAAGTCAATATTTATCTAGCTGTAATGTGCATAGGAATCATTTGGAGGATCTTGTTAAGAATGCAGAAATGGATTCAGTAAGTCTTGGGTAAAACCCAAAGACTTGCATTTCTCACATGATCTCAATGATGCTGGTGCTACTGGTTCTTGGGACCACTCTTACTAGCAAGGTTTAAAGTTCCAGTGAAAGCACCTGCCCAACATTGGGGGATATGCTAACTATTTTATTGGTCAGAAAAGTTAGTACTTGCAGGATGTAACTAATCTAAGATCATAAAGTTAGTTGACAGAAAAATCAGAGCTAAATATCACATTTCGTAGGTCTCCTGTCTTGTAACCCAGTGGTCTTCCTTGAAAGATTTATATGGTCATGATTTGTTTATTTGGATAAAACAACAACGATGACAACAACAAGGCTTTTTACTTTTTACAAGGAGTATAATATGCAAGTCAAGATTTGGTATGTGATAGTCTATAGGTTATTCTGTGATAATGAACATACCTAAACTTTCTATAGCTTAAGTAAACAGCCATTTCACACAATATATCTACTGAGGGTCCATATGGGCTCTGTTCCATGTAGTTGCTCTGAAATGGTGACTTTATGATGTCTGGAAGAAGAGCATCACAGTGGAGAAACAGTTTATGGCAGGCAGAAGGTAGCAAAATCAATCAAGTAAGAGATCTTAACAGTGTCCTTCTGGCCCTTTTATGTTGAATCTAAACTACTGGGATTAGGGCAATGCCAAACCAATCAGTGGACTGATGTAGTAATGACACATCCTTAATCCCAGCATCACACTTTCTAGATTCAGCCACCTCTGAAAAAGCTCTTCCTACTGCTGCATGTAGCTTTGAGGGAGTATCTAGACACAAGCCATAACATTCAGCCCCTGGCCCCCTAAAAACTCATGTACATACCTTTATGAAAAAAGGCATTTAGCCCATCTCTAAGAGTTGCCAAAGTCCTAACTGTTTCAGCATTGCTGAAAAGTCTAAGTACAAAGTCTCTGAGATTTAAGGCAAATTGTTAGTTGCAA